ATTGTTACCAACTTAGATTAAAAGTGATAGCCAGACAAACGCTCCTAGCAGCGGCACCAATTGAGAAAGCAATCGCAGCTCGGAAAAATTGAAGATACAAAAAAGAGGGAAAATGAAAAGAAAAAAATAACGTACAGGAACCGGGAAAGTTAAGGAAATGGGAATGGTAAAAAAAAAAGAAAAAACAAAAACAAATTTATAATTGAAATCAGTGTCAAGACAGCCAGAGAAAAGGGAACAGGAGTAGCCAGGACAATTCAGGATGGCACTTAAGTCGACTGACCAAACAAGCAGAAGGCGGTGGAAAACGGCGGAAAGGAAAATCTGCATTTGCAAGATGCAGAAATTAGGGGCAATACAACGAAAAAAATAAAGAAAAGAGCAAGGAGCGCACACAAATTAGCTAATGTTGAATATAGCCAAAGTCAAAACCAATTCCATTCCCTCAACTTCTTCATGTTTTCGACCAGAGAGGGAGCGAGATGGCCAGCTCAGCCCGTCTCACTTACTCTTTCGAGGGCCAGGGCCTCCACAATTGGGTCAACAAACATTCGGAGCAAATGGCCCAGTGCGACGGGCCGTGACAGGAGCATGAAAAGTGCTTTAAGCAAACATCGGTTAGATCTCCTTAAATTTGGCCAAGAAAGTGGACAGCAAAGTGTTAAGCTTACAAACACTTGATTGGGAGAAGTCAGCAAAAGTTAGGGGTATTTTTTAAAAGCGAGATTTAAGCGGACAGAAAAAATGGGCAAAAGTAAGGAAAGAGTATCTCTAGCAGTATACCAATTCCCCTTCCAACACACTAGCTTCAAAGTTTATTTAAGTAAGTAATAAGTTTTGTCGTCCTCATGATAACATAAAAGTAGATTCTAGCCCAATAAATGTATGTAGTTTTTCATTCCAAAACCTACTTTTAGCTAACCATAAGCACAAGATTTAAAGATTAAAGTGTTTACAAAATAATCAAAATGTATTAAAAGAGCACACAAAATATTAATTATGTGCATAATAGTGTCCACGGAATAGTACTAATTTCGTGTGCCTGATAATTGTGCATTCAAATATAAATAATACAATTTGTGTTAAATCTAGTCAAAGAAATTAAATGTATTACTGAAATGCAACAGATAGTTTCTTTACAAATAATTATGCGACAAATATATCAAACGATTTAATATGTTAATGTTATAAATTTCAGTAATTCAAAGGAAAATTGTGACAAAACATTTATTGACATTTTAGCATAAATTAAGGGACATAAATGAAAAACATATTAAAATACATTTGCAATGCTATGCAGATTGAACACTTGTTCAACTTAAGTTCAGTGAACAATGAAAAAAATACTTCCCAGACTGTTAGTTTTTTTCATTATCAGAAAAGCCTTTTTATCGCTCGGACCATATATCTTCAGCTGATTTAAGGAATGACACAGGACAGCTTCCATTTACTCGATATCAACTCGCAAATTGATTGTCCGTTTGTGCCGTGAGAAGGTGAGACAATTATTTACAAATCCAGCTTTCATTTGTTCCACTCAGTCAACCCCCCCTTCCAGATTCCCCACCCCCTGGCGCCGCCATTGCCAAGATGGCAACTCAAAACTGGCAACTGGCTATTTGTTAGCATTTTGCAGTCATTACGGAATCCCCAGTAGCTGCCCCAGCAGGCAGCCCATAGCCCTTAATTAATGGCCACTTTTGGGAACAGTTGGCAGTTTCTAATTTCAAATAAATAAACGCAATCCCCACTGGCAGGAGGAGCCAGTGCCATTACCCTCCCCAAATTTTCCAGCCACACGGACACCTACAAAATGCTGCTACTCGATTTGCCAAAATCAAATGGAAATTCACCACTCGCCAGCCATTTTATTTATATTACTTATATATCTATCTCCTACATTTAAATTCGGTTTTGTGTATGTTTTTTACATTCACATTTCGATGCAAGCATTCCGTGGCCGAATGTTTCCGCTTGATTGCCACGTGTGGTAAATTCCTCGCCCCGATAAACTTAGGGGTTTGCACCCCGATCTTCCCACACTCATCCGCATCCTTTGTGCCATTTTTCATGCCAAAATTATTCAATTATTGGCGAAGCAAAGTAATATAAACGAAATACAAGGAAAGCAAAGGAAAGTATATAACAAACTGACTTCCATATTTTGATGGACTTGCTAATTCTCTTTACTGAAACTTAAATATATTAAGCTTAAACTTTAGAATTATTATTAATGTTGTTTTTTAAAGTTTTTTTATAAAAAACTTTAATCTTTTTTTTTTATAAAAAACTTTAAACTAATAATATGAAAGCCCTATTAAAAAAATACAAACACTGCAAATGTTATTAATTTTTAAAAACTACTAGTGGAATTAAATTCATTATTACATTAAAATCTAAAAATCCTGACCACTGTTGAACTTAAAATATGATCAATCTGAAAAAGACTTTCAATGTTCTTTGTTCTCAGCTATAAAAAATACCTTTAAAACGTAATTCAACTATTATTTTAGAATTTTGTGTTACGTTTTTCTATCTGATGCTCGGAACCCTTTAAGTTATCCTGTTCAGTAAATATATACCCGATTCTACCCTGTACTCATTGAGCATGAAGGCAGCAATATGGTTAGGGATTGTGTGTGTGTGTGTGTGTGTGTGCGTGCGAGAGTTGACTTCCGGTCGCCGCCATCTTGTGGGGGTCACATTTTCTGCATGCATTAATTTACAATTACGATAGACTGCCGACAGCTGCCTCCCTTGTCGATCTGAATCTGAATCCTTCGCCTGCCTTACGTAATATATTACCCCGAAAAAATATTAGGCAATATTATGTGGCTTCGTCTTTGTTGTTGACCTTTTTACCCTGTGTTTTTTTTTTTTGTGCTACTAAACGATTTCGGATTACAAGAAACGACCCTTGGCATTTTGCAGCTTCAGTTACTAAAAGCCGAAAAATGTCCTGCCGTAGGACAGGTGGGCGAATCTGTCAGCTCAAAGTTACTGCAACGACGACCAGCTAGCTCGGGCAATTAAATGAATCCCTATCAAAGGATGCCCCGTCCGCATCCCCGTTTCAGTCCAGGAACCACAGGACATCTGGTAAATGCTCGACCAGTGGCGTCAATCAATTACTTTAGTTGAGAAAACGCATTTGCGGTGGCCCACAAGGATATCGGGGCGGACAGGGGGCGTGGCTGGGTCTTGAGGTTAGTGTCGATTGGCCAGAGAAACAGTCACCATAATGGCAGGACAATTGAGTGTGTTTTTGTCTAGCTTGGGTTGAGGATATATTTACTGTGCAAATTTTATAGTCAGTTTAAAAGCTGATTTATTTTCATTTTAATTAGTAACGTTCCCTTATTAAAGCTTTTCCATTACGTTACTCTTTCAAAAGTAAGCTTGAAGACTTTAATTGTTTCTCTTTAAACGTAAAAATGTAAAGCTCAGGTTTATACTGTAGAAGCTGTTTAGATCTATATTAATTCTTTATTTTTTAAAAAATCTTTCGATAATATTTAAGCCTTATAACCCAATAAATTTACGTTTTTCAAAATAATGGTAAGTTAAAAAACTTCTTCCGTTTTAAATTTCGCTGTAATATTTATATTTAAAAGCTCGAAGCAGAAAGTTGTTGATCCTTTCTAATTAAACAATCCTTTGTATTTTTTTCGCATGAAAAGTTTCTTAATTGGAACCACTGAAAGCCGCTGACAAATCGATGGCAATCGAGAACCATTGAGGCTTTTATCGATTTCCGTGGGACTTAAAGTTAAGCAGGCAAACAATCGGCCAATTAAGTGAACTCAACTCCACAAAAGGACATACTTATGCATATCGATAAATAAGCATGCAGGTTCAAGCCAACTATATATGTAAATGGGATGGTATTATGGGGGATTCTCGTATTTTGTGTATTTGTGGCATGTTGACCAACTTGGCCAGCTGCCACGAAATGCGACAAACATAATAAAAAAAAATTAAGGGAAATGCCGCGAAATTGCCATCCCTTTCACACGACCTTGACTGCACACACACTGCAAAATACATGTGCAAAAACTGAAAAAAAAACCCTGTCTGGGCGAAAAGTTTGCGACTTGTTTTTGTGCTCGATGCGAAAAATGTGCGAGTTCGAGTCAATTAATTACAGGCAGCCGAACACAAAATTCTACCCAAGCACAAACACACACGTGCGCTCCCCTTATACATATATCATCTTTGTGCGTGGCTTTTTGTAGCATACAATTTGGGGCACACTCTCATATACATAGACATGCTCGTACATTCAGGATTCGAGTTTTTATGGCCAAATGAGAAAATGTATGCATTCGACTTGTGTGCGAAATTGGTAACACAAAGGACCGCAAATGCCATATGGCCATATAGATGATGATCCAACATACAGCCGATATATCTCCCAGTTCGCCAGTGTTTATCTGAGTGTGTCCGCATAAATAAGCAAGCAAATGAACGTCTAATGAGGTCAGAAAACGGGGCAATGCCCATGTCCCACCCAATAAAAGTAAGTCCCCGCATGTGTGAAGATGCTTACTGCCTGGCAGAATACACTGGCAGAATCATTACCTTAGAATGCCATTTAGAAGGAACAAGAAATGAAGCAATCTTCGGCAAGCTGAAGTTTATATATCCTTGCAGCTATTACAAAAATTAAATATTCTATATTTCGATTACGTTTCAAGTATAATGAATTGTTCGATCCTATTACTATAGTAATGTTAATATTAATTAGAACGACTCTTTTGCTGATCAAGAATATATATAGAGAGACGTCTCCTTCAATTGATATTAAGCTTCCAGATAAAAGCCTTAAATGTTTTATGCCAATAATATGTAAGCATGAAAAGTATTATCTTAATGTTAGCTTAAGGTACAAAAATGTAAATGTATCAGAAGGAGCACTTAATTTTTTCAGTGCAGTAACAGTAACGCACTTTACCGCCCCTCCCCCGCATTTACGCCTTTGGCTATGTTGTGGCACTTACCGTAAACTGCTTGGCCAACAATTAGCAACATTAGCAGCGAACAGCGTGGGTCGTGGATTAACCTTTGATTTTGTTGCTGTTGCTGCTTGTGTGGCCGCGGCTGTGGTTGTTGTGCGCTGCCAGTGCTTCTTCTTCTTCGCATTTTGCTTGAGGATTGCCAGCTTCAGTCTTATTGTCTCCGTCCCTCTCTAGCCCGCTCGCGCCCTCTCTTTCTCTATTTTCGCAGTAAGAGTGCTTCACACGTAACTGTAAAATATTGTTAAGAAGAAGAATGCCAAGGATAAGTCCAGGATCGAGAACATGAACAAGAAACAATATAAACACAGCTATGCACAAAATAATAGGGGTGGTGACAAGGAAATTCAAGGAAAAACTGGTATTCTGTAAGTACATCTGTTTGGGCCAGACAATTACAATTTTTTTAATGGACACATTTTCAATTTATTTTTCCCAATTCAACATTTAATTTATTGATTCTTATTTGCAAAATAAAATGTTTTATTATTTTTTAAAATAAAATGTAATTTGTTCATATGTAAGAAAATAATAGTAATCAAGAAGAATTCTTTAATGAGGTTTTCCCAATTACATTTTTTTTCCTTAGTGCTATTGTTTTGACCATGACTATACCAGAAGCAACATAACGGAAATCCAATTGAAGCGAATGTAAGACAATTGCTCGAGTTTGTTCAAACAATTTTGCGCTCCTTTCGTCGCGCGAACAAATGAGTTTTTCCTCAAATTGAGTTTTCGCCGCTGGCAAAATGTCAGCACCAAAATAAATGATAATCCCATCAAGTGCTGGCAAATTGCAGACAAGTATATTGCAATTTGTTTGGAATTTGGTGAAGGATTATTAAGAAAGGCAGGAAACAAGGGTTTTGAAAGAGATTTTGAAAATTAAATTATTTAGCCGAAGTCCGTTGAGCCAGTTGCTTAAAATTAAAATGTTCTTTACCGTATAAATGAGCTTTATAGGTCTTAATATATTTGATAATGACATACTTCTTTGGGATTAGTAAAAATTGTTTCAAATGGAAAACAATTAAAGGCTGTTGTTCTGTTCTTTAAAATCAATAAAATATATAGTTAATTTTTGGTTATTTTTTTTTGTACACAATCAAGTTAAAATCAATGTATGTGACTTACTCAACAAATTTGTAATAACTTTTTTATTTAAGAGTACTAAAAAAGCATGCATGTGAAATTGATTGACTATTATTTTCATTTACTTTTTCTTTGAAAAGGGTGGAAAAGAAAGTTTTAAATTGTAAATTTAAGACTTTGAAAATATTTTCCTTGCCACAAATATTTTCTCCTGTCGCTGACGTCGTTTGATGAAAGTGAAATCTTGGAAAACATGAAAGGAGGACAGCCTGCACACTTTCACATATTTTTTTCATTTTTTCGGGGCCTTCGACTGCACCTGACTGACCCAAATGTGTTGGCATTTTTTTTTTTAGCGGGCTCTGCACCCCCTGGAAACCGGCCCCTCGCCACCCCTGTGGCGTCATAAAGCATGACCCAATTGAATTGTTACGCCCGGGCTAATAAAATTTTATGTGCGGCTATTATTAGGCTCTTGTGTCTGTTCGTGTCCTGCGGCACCACAACAAACAATGTCACTTTGGCTCCTTCGGCTCTCCTATTTGCACACGCAAAATACTTGCCAGAAAAATAGCGAACTCTATATTTATAGCGGATCGTGTTCATTATAGGATATTCTTTCAAATATTCCCCATTAGTTTATTTGCTTGAATCTTTAAAAATTGCTGTTTTCAATCTTTATTTATTTATGTATTATAACCAAATGCAATTGTAATAATACATTTAAATATTATTTTTCCTTATTAACTTAGTATAAAAAACTTTGATTTTATATTTCGACAATATAATATTAATTTGTTTCAATATTAGCTTTACTATGTTTGCAGTATTTTTCTTAAGATACGAAATATATGAGGACATTTACATTTACCTAAAATGAATTTTTATGGTAATATAACTGTACGATCTATCGTTTTTTTCTGTGTAATTTTATATGGCTTAAGTATGTGCTTTCACTTCTTTTTGTGGTATTATTCTGTGTATGCGACTGTTGAAATTTTATTTTGATACTACTCTGCTTTTAAGGCGAAACTAATTTGTTTCCTGTATTGGTTTTGGCGGGCTTGCAAAGGGTCGCGGCTTGCTTCAAATCGCCAGTCGCGACGGCGTCCAAAATTTATGCATAACTTTGCTCTTACCAAATCTTTGATATCCAAACGCTTTGATTACACGCCCCGCCACCCAATCGTCAATTTAGCCATTCTTTACCCCCGATTTTCCGCTTTATTCTGTGCATGTTTTTCGCATTTTTTGCGCTTCAGTTGTCTTAGGCGGTTCCTCGTGGCGTTAAGTACTCAAAAAAGCAGAAAAAACCATGCCATCCAACAAACAAATGGAATGGCAAGGAAAAATGGTGAAAACTGAGGCTACTTGAAAAGGGGAAAAAGCGAACAAAAACATCTGCCCCGCCCACACAATTTGCATGGAGGCTTCCGAGACAAAAGGGCGCTATAATCCCGAACAGGGATCACGGCCAAAAGCGGGACATTGCCCAGGACTTTCATTAGGCCAAATACAAGGGAAAAGTGTGCAATTGACGCAAATGCTTGGTGTCATTTGTGGGCGAGAAAAAGGGCTCAATTCCAACTGAATTTGCGAAAGGATTTTGCCAAACAATCGGTGGAATGTTTATTGCGGGCTCTAATTTCCTCAATAAAAGAAACGCGCACTTTTACGGCCTGAAGGAGCTCAGTTTTAAGTGTTTAGATAATAATATATTTGATATTAAGTTAAGCTTAACTTGATGGTTATTTTAAAAAGCGAAGCACAGTCTTAAATAGACTGCTATTACATTTTTAAATGTATAATTTTATAACTCAATTTTTTCTTCCAAGACTTATTTTCAGTAACCCTTTAATTTTTGTGTATCAATACGAGCATCTAAGTTCACCAAAAACATCAGAATTTACCCAGAATGCGATCAAACCGACACAGATATTGAATGAAAGTTCCAGCCTCTTGTGTTTTCAATGGCAGGCGAACAAAAACTTTTGCACCAGCGTGGAGCCAAGCCACATATGTATATTCTCATCAATTTGCCATAATTTCTGCCCCCGGAAAGCTGCCATAAAGTGTCGTAAAGTGCATTAGAGCGCACTTGGCATAACGCAGCCAACAATAAGGAATTCACAAGGAGTCGGGACTCAGGACTCGAGACTCGGAGACTGACAGGAAAAGAGCAACAGAAGTCCAAGTGTGTGTGTTTGTTTCAGTGTGTGTTTTGCATAAATATTCATGGCGGGCCGGGGGCGTGGGCCGCAGGCGGGTGCCGGGTGGCGGGGGTTCGGTGGGGGGACGGCGGCGCCCACAAGAACTGCGCCAGCGGGGCGACTAACACCTTCTGGCAAAAAGAAAAAAAAATGCGAATCGGAATGTGTAAAAGGGAGAACAAAAAGCGAGGAAAAACACAGGAGGGAAATTCCCCGCTGTCGTTGGCCGTTTTGCCATTCCTGCCCGATTTCCCATACTTTATGCCCATTTCTGATTGTTTATTAGTGCGGCAAAGTCCAAAGAGTGGGCCCCAAAAGGGGGCGTGGGGGCGTGGCCGTTGGGGGAAAGGCATTTTTAATGCCTTGGTACATTTATTGGCGTGTTTTACGCGCCATAAACTGAAATTCATAAACATTTTTTATGCACTTACATGTGTAAATGTGTTCGGTTCGCTTTTGGTTTGCCGGAATGCATCCTGGGGGGTGGGTGAGTGTAGGGTTAAGGGCTCTGCGGGTTAAGGCATGGGGCGGTGGCAGGACCAAAGGTAACATACACATATTCTTCGTCGAGGTGACGGCCTCTGCGAGTGTGCGTGTGTGTGTGTGTGTTTGTGTGTTATCCTGCATTGCGAAAATGCGGCATAAAAATTCATTTTATTGCTTACGTTTTTGTATTGTGTTTGTGCCCTGCCTTGGACAGTGGGGCATCTGGGGTTAAGGGGATCGCCTGTCTTAGGTGCAGTTCGGAATTATAAATGAGCACGTAAAGCAACATTTTTAAGCCCAGTTACCGCATTGAAAAATTTACATGGGCATAAACAAAGCACAACATTTGAGTACCCTGTGCAAGAGTATAAAACTTATAAAAAAGTTCCCATTAGAACATATTAAATATTATTTAAATTACATAGACACAAAATCACATGATTTCAATTTCAAATGATTCTAAAAGTATCTTATAATAATGTAAATATGAAAAACAAAATTCACTGTTTTGTTTTATTCATCTCATAAATAAAAATGTTTATGACAAAAATGCTAAAGTTACGAAAGTATTTAATGGCAATTGCATTTCCTATTGTATTTAAGCCTAAGAAATGCTGTTACATTGAACTACATTATAATATATGAAAAATTCAAAATTAGAATCAGGGCTAAAAACAGGATGATCATAAAATTAGGTAAATATTCCTTAACGGCAACACTAGCAAAATTTAACAAACATTAAATTAAATTGAAATACCATTTATATGGCTAGGAGTAAGTATACAACTAAATCAATTAAACTTAAGTTAACGATGTAATAGTAAAAATATAAAACAATCATTCTATCATTGCATAAACATCCAACATCATAAATATTTTTACACTTCATTGCCCCAGAAGTACCGGATATGATGGAGGATTATTTAAGCCTTTCCCTAATCGTTTTCCCGGCCTTGGGCCAGGACCTCTTTCAGGTTGCCACTTGCCAAAAATAGCGACAAGCCATAGCGACACATGACGCATACGCATACGCACATTACGCATACGCATCGTGGGCCGCTCATGCATATGCAAAGGATGCGGATGCGGATGCGGATGAGGACGAAAACGAGGCCGAAAGTGTGTGGGTACTACTGATAAGCGCATTAAGGACTCCACTGGCTTTCGCAGGCCATTCGAAATTGGCAGCACACTCCATTTGGTGTGCCATCTTGGGGTGATAATTGCGTCCGACCGAGAGTCGATAAGGTCAAAGGTGGCCGAGTGGTTCAAAGAAATTGCCAAACAATGGCCAAAGGAAAATTGGCAAGAGCCAAAAGTTCAGAGGCCGGCACCTGCACACAATTGGAAACGGAGTTATGACCGAGACAAACAAGCCAACACAGAGCGAAAAGTTATGCACGAAGTCAGCCCACAAATAATATTCGCTACTTACTAAACTTA